TGAAGTAATCAAAAATCTCCCAGCAAATAAGAGTCCAGGACCAGATGGCTTCCCAGGGGAATTCTATCAAACATTTAGGGAATTCGTACCTCTTCTTCTGAAACTGTTTCAAAAAATAGAAATGGAAAGGAAATTTCCAAACTTGTTTTATGAGGCCAGCACTACCTTGATCCCAAAACCAGATGAAAACCCCACCAAAAAGAATTAAAGACAATATCTCTGATAAACATGAATACAAAAATTCTCATCGAGACACTAGTCAATAGGATCCAACAGTACATTGAAAGGATTATTCACCACGACCAAGTGGGATTTATTCCTGGGCTGCAAGTGTGGTTCAACATCCGCAAATCAATCAATGTAACATGCTACATTAGTAAAAGAAAGGAAAAGAACTACATGATCCTTTCAATCAATGCATAAAAAGCATTTAACAAAGTACAGCATCCTTTCTTGATTAAAATTCTTCACAGTGTAGGAATGGAGGGAACCTACCCTAATATCATAAATGCCATCTACGAAAAGCACACAGCAAATATCATTCTCAATGGGGAAAAAACAGAGTTTTCCCCCTAAGGTCAGGCAGGGATGTCCACTATCACAACTGTTGTTCAGTATAGTACTAGAAGTTCTAGCCTCTGGAGCACCTGGGTAGCTCAGTCCGGTGGGTGTTTTCTTTCGGCTCAGATCATAATCCCAGGTGTTGGGATCAAGCCCACATCAGGCTCTGTGCTCAGCAGGAAACCTGTTGCTCCCTCTCCTTCTGCTTGCTGCTCCCCCCACTTGTGCTCATGCTCTCTCCTTCTCTTTGTCAAATAAATAAGATAATGCTAAAAAAAGAAAGAAATAGAAGACCTAGCCTCAGCAATCAGACAACAAAAAGAAAGAAAAGGCATCCATATTGGTAAAGAAGAAGTCAAACTCACTCTTCACAAATGACATGATACTCTGTGGAAAACCTAAAAGACTCCACTCCAAAATTGCTAGAATTTATACAGGAATTTAGCAAAGTAGCAGGATATAAAGTTAATGCACAGAAATCCATTGCGTTCCTATAGACTAACAATGAGACAGAAAGTGGAATGAAGGCATCAGTCCCATTTACAATTACACCCCAAACCATAAGATACTTAGGAATAAAGAAGCAAAAAATCTGTACTCAGAAAACTATAGAATGCTCATGAAAGGAATTGAAGACACAAAGAAATGGAAAAGCCTTCTATGCTCATGGATGAGAAAAACCAATATTGTTAAAATGTGTATGGTACCTAGAGTGATCTATACATTCACTGCAATCCATACCAAAATACCATCAACTTTTTTCACAGAGCTGGAACAAATAATCCTAAAATTTGTATGGAACCAGAAAAGATCACAAATAGCTAAAGGAACGTTGAAAAAGAAAACTAAAATCGGTGGCATCACAGTCCCTGGACTTTAAGCTCTATTACAAAGCTGCAGTCATAGGGACGCCTGGGTGGCTCAGCAGCTGAGCATCTGCCTTCAGCTCAGGGTGTGATCCCGGAATCCCAGGATCGAGTCCCACATCGAGCTCCCTGCATGGAGCCTGCTTCTCCCTCTGCCTGTGTCTCTGCCTTTCTCTCTGTGTCTCTCATGAATAAATAAATAAAATCTTAAAAAAAAAAAAAGCTGCAGTTATCAAGACAGTAAAATACTGGCCCAAAAACAGACGCACAGATCAATGGGACAGAATAGAGAACCCAGAAACGGACCCTCAAGTCTGTGGTCAGCTAATCTTTGACAAAGCAGAAAGCATAACCAATGGAAAAAAGTCTCTTCAACTGGTGTTGGGAAAATTGGACAGCCACACGCAGAAGAGTCCAACTGGACCGTTTTCTCACACCATACACAAAAATAAAATCAAAATGGATGAAAGGCCTAAATGTGAGAGAAGAATCCAAAAAAGCAACTCAGATTATGTCTCTCCAGAATTAAAACCTCTCAGTGACTACCTGTTATTAAAGCCCAGACTCCTTACCACATCTCATATCAGTATGTATTGAGTGCTTATTATATTCCACCTACTGTGTTAGATGCTTTGCATGTGTTAACATAATCTTCACAATGGACTTGTTATATTGGAAATATTAACTCCATTTTATAGATCAAGAGTATATTGGAAATATTATTAACTCCATTTTATAGATCAAGAGTATGTTATGGGCTCCTGGGTGGCTCAGTTGGTTGAGCAACCATCTCTTGGTTTCAGCTCAGGTCGTGATCTCAGGGTTGTGAGATCAAGCCCCATGTCCGATTCCTGCTCAGTGTGGGGTGGGAGGTGTCTGCTTCAGATTCTCCCTCTCCCTTCCCCTCACTGTGTGTGTCTGCGCACACGAGCTCTCTGTCTCTCTCTCAAATAAATAAATAAATCTTAAAGAAAGAGAAAGAAAAGAAAAGATCACACAGCTGGTTACCAGCTAAGCTGGAATTCAAAGCCAAGGAGTCTGACTCCAAAGCATACAGTCTGGCCCCTTTAAACTATCCCAACTTCATCTTGTTTTGCTAACTTGACTTTAGCCACACAAGTCTTTTTGTCCTTCAAGCATATCAAGCTTGTTTTCTCCATAGGACTTTTGCAATTACTATTTCTCCATCTAGAATGTTCTTCCTTCAGATTGTTGGATGGCCAGTGTCATCTCAAATGTTTTTTCTCCATCTAGAATGTTCTTCCTTCAGATTGTTGGATGGCCAAGTCTTCATTCAAATGTTTTTTTCTGGGAGGCCTTCCCTGACATCTGTCTTTAAAATTATTTTCCCACATATTCACGGTCACTCTTTATATTTGCTTACTTTTTATGTTGTTTTTGTGGAAGTATTTACTCAGCAAGTATTTGTTGAATGGATGAATGTTGACTGTTTGCTGAATGTTGTTTAGTATAGTGACTAAGGGTATAGTCTCTGAAATCACACTCCTGGATTCATATCACAACTCTCCTATTTAATTGTGTGAAGTTGAGCAAGTTGCTCTCTGCCTCAGGTTCCTCATTTCAAAGATAGAAATTATGACACTTCCCTAATAGAGTTGTTAGAATCAAATAAATTGATGGTTAATGCATGTGAATCTTTTTTTTTTTTAAGTAGGTTCCACACCCAACATGGAGCCCAACACAGGGCTTGAACTCATGACCCTGAGATCAAGACCTGAGCTGAGATCAAGAATTGGACATTTAACCAGCTGAGCCACCCAGGTGCCCCTGCATGTGAATCTCTTAAAACAGGGCATAGAAGTGTGCCTGGCTGGTTCAGTCAGTGGAACATATGACTCTTGATCTCAGGGTTGTAGATTCTAGCCCTATGTTGGGTGTAGAGATTACTTTTTTAAAAAAGTACAGAGGCACATCAGAACTCAAGACATGTTATTTCTTTTATTTATTATTTTCAAGCTTTTGCTGTTACTAATATTGAATGAAAGCATACCAGGGAAGCTCTTTGGAATATCATATTTTCAGGCCCTACTCCAGGTCAGCTAAATCAGAATCTCTGTAGAAAGGGCCCTGGAATCTTTTTTAAAAAATATTTTTGAGATTGCAATAAACATCCAGTCTTGGGAACTGGCAGTAGAGGTTTAGCATTGCTGCTCAGGTTCAACAGAGACAGGTGTGACATCATCATATCATGCAGTGGCATCATGTGGTAATTTGTGATTTTGCTAAGTTGTAAAGTGAGAGCAAGTCACTGTGAGTGGGTCCAGAAGACCACACCCCCGTCCCTGGCATCCCCATTCTGGTGCAGCCTCATCCTCTTCTCTGGGTCTCTCTCCACTGGTAAGCAGTAGAGCTTAGAGTGACTCTAATTTTTGTTTCTGCTTGAAAAAACATTTCAAAAAGAAAATTGAGAAGTATGATGATGCCAGTAAAGCTACTCTTTAAAGTGGTGGTTCTTAATTAGAAACCAGAATGGGAAAAAAAAAAAAAAAAAAAAAAGAAAGAAATCAGAATGGATAGTTTTGATTATCGCTATATTAGAGTATGGAATGGCAAGTTTGTTGCTTGGTTAGCACCATAACATAAGTATTGTCTATCAAATGCTGTCTGTAAGAGCAAAAGGTCACAAAACTATTCTGGCAGTTGCACCAACCGAAGTTGCAACCAATGGAAAAATTTTAAGATGTCAGGGAAATTACAGTTATAAGTTTGGGTATTAATTTTTTTTGTGAATCTCATACTGCATAAGACACGATTTCTATCTTCCTAGAGTTAAAAAGACAAAACCACCACATACAAAACAGGAACAAATAAGATTAAAGTTTATAATAAGGGGTGCTTGGGTGGCTCAGTGGTTAAGCATCTGCAATTGTTTGGCTCAGGTTGTGATCCCGGGGTCCCGGAATCAAGTCCTGCATCAGGATCCCCACCAGCAGGCTGCTTCTCCCTCTGCCTGTGTCTCTGTGTCTCAAATAAATAAATAAATAAATAAATAAATAAATAAATAAAAATCTTTTTAAAAAATTCGTAATAAGAGATATTCAGGGAACGCTGTTAATATCAGAAAAGAAAGGGACGCCTGGGTGGCTCAGTGGTTGAGCATTTGCCTTCCATTCAGGGTGTGATCCTGGGATCCAGGATCGGGTCCCACATGGGGCTCCTTGCATGGAGCCTGCTTCTCCTCTGCCTGTGTCTCTGCCTCTCTCTCTCTCTTTCTCTCTCTCTCTCTCTCTGTCTTAACTCATGAATAAATAAATAAATGATAATAAAAAATATCAGAAAAGGGATCCCTGGGTGGCGCAGTGGTTTAGTGCCTGCCTGTGGCCCAGGGCGCGATCCTGGAGACCCGGGATCGAGTCCCACGTCGGGCTCCCGGTGCATGGAGCCTGCTTCTCCCTCTGCCTGTGTCTCTGCCTCTCTCTCTCTCTCTCTCTCTCTGACATAAATAAATAAAAATTTTAAAAAAAAAAAATATCAGAAAAGAAAGTATGTCAGCGAGGGGGTTCATTGAAATAGTTGTGGCTAGTTAGGACTTATACAAGAAATTTTCTTTAGTTGCAGGACCAGCTCTGCCCCCTAATTATAAAAGCAGTAGCTCGGAGTCCTCAGACAGCGATGAAGACAGTAGTTCATTGTACGAAGAAGAAAATCAGGAATCTGAAGAAGATGACACTGGTCCAACGGCAAGGTCAGTCACTTAAATGATAAACCAAGCTTCAAACCTAGTATTCGTTGGCTGGATCAGGTAGCCAGTCAGAGAACACCATATCTGTATTTTTACTGCATGGGAAGAAATCCTTTCATACAGTATTGCCTCGTTGAGCTATACATTGGAGAAAGAAATTTATTCTAGTAGTAGATAGCTGTAGAGATACCTAGAATTTCAATTAAATTCTTAGAGAAAGGATTTTCCTGAAGGTATTACTGAAGTGACTACATATTCTAAGTAAACCAGAGCATTTCTTTTAAAAAATGTTAATGCAGTAGATGGTTCTTGCTTAAGTAAATGAATGGTTTCCCTCTAACTACCTTACTTACCGTAGGTGCATGTAAATAAGAAGTGAAATCTTTGTTTAGTATTGGGTAGTTTTTTGGTTGCATTTTAAAGATCTTAAGAGAGAGAAATAGCAACTTAAAACTCTTCCTGAATGAGATTAAAATCAGAGTCATTATCTTTTTGTTCAAAAACGTATAGCAAGTAGACTGTCTGAAACCTCAGCAAGTAGAATCTTTAACAATGTAGAAAATACAGAAAAGTGATACAGTATTCCTGGTATAGAGAATTAACCAATCTCTATCCTTGGCCAAAAATAAATTCCAGGAAAAGGTTAGTATAAGATCTACTGTGGTATCCATTTGTTCTTATTGGGCAAGATTAATTTATTGTTTCAGTATTTATACAACTAGTTGGAGTTAATGCTTCCTTTAAAACCTAAAACTTCTCTGTAAAATAATTTGCATAAAATTGCACTACTGTGTTTTTAGAAAACAGAGGAGAAATCAAGATGATGATGATGATGATGATGATGAAGGATTTTTTGGACCAGCTCTTCCTCCTGGATTTAAAAAGCAGGATGATTCTCCTCCAAGGTGATAACGTATAATAAATAGTTCAAGCCTGTCTCTTCTAAATATTTCAGTTAGTGCTTGTTAATTCATTAAAGAGTTATCTGAAATTGTTGTTTAACTTACAAATTTATATAACATTTGAAATGCATAGGAAAAAGTAGTCGTTTCCTATAACAAAAATGGTTATTTAATTGTGTATAAATACTTCTATAGTTTATAAAAACTTCCGTATCTCTTAGTTGATGCTCACAAGAGTGTTTTGTAGTAGACTGATTGGAACGTTCTCCTCCTTCTCCTTTTTTTTTTTTTTAGAGAATTTTTTTTAATATTTTATTTATTAATTCATGAGAGACACAGAGAAGTAGAGACACAGGCAGAGGGAGAAGCAGGCTCCATGCAGGGAGCCCGATGTGGGACTCAATCCCGGGTCTCCAGGATCACGCCCTGGGCAGAAGGAGGTGCTAAACTGCTGCGCCATCTGGGCTGCCCCCTCCTTTTTTTTTAAATAGATAAGGTTTTGCACACATAGTGACTGGTAGACCTGGGGCTGCAATCGTAGTATTTGACTTTAAAATCAGATGCTGTCTTAGTTACTTCATGATAGAAGAAGCAATTCCTTTGTGCCCCCATTAAACAATTTGACTTCTCTGTACCTCAAATTTGCCGTCTGAAAAATAGTTTAACAAGTAGCTTTCAAAATTATTGTGATGATCGAGATTTCATATTTATATATATATATATATATATATATATATATATATATATACATATGTGTGTGTATGTCTCTTTCATCATGCCTGGCCCCAAGTAAGTATATAGTCTTCTTCTCAGACTATTGTACTTTTTTTTTAAAAGATGTTATTTATTTATTCATGAGAGACACAGAAAGCAGAAACATAGGCAGAGGGAGAAGCAGGCTCCCTGCAGGGAGCACGATGTGGGACTCCATCCCAGAATCCTGGGATCATGCCCCGAGCTGAAGGCAGACCCTCAACCACTGAGCCACCCAGGCATTCCTACACATTTTAATATTCAAACTTTGTAATCGCATTTGTCAGCTCCAATTTTCACGTGACTTTGGTCCTTTTAGAATTAATAGGGAAGACTCTACTGATTTTGTATTGCCCCCAAGCCAAGAATGATCTTTAAAGGGTCATTTAAAAAACAAAGACAGGCATGCCTAAGAGACCCATAAATGGCCCTCAAAGCCTAAAATGTCCTATCTGGCCTTTTGCAGAAAATTTGCTGACTGCCAGGGCATAACATTCAAGAAAACACATTATTAGATGCACAGCAATTTCTTTCTTGAGAGTTATACTTTGGCTATTAAATGGCCAGGATCAGAACCCACACCTGCTGACTCTCAGTACTGTTTTTCCTCTGCCAGGAACCTCGTCTGTGAGGCTCTAGTTGAACACAGGGCAACCTGGAAAATTCAGCTCAGTGCCATGTTGGTTGGTAATACTGGCACAGTGATGTCTCTGGGAAAAACACATATGAAAGAAAGGACCAAGAAACTTGAAAGCACAGAAGAGAGTAGAAAATATCTTGTTTCTATTGTTTTTTCCCTGATGTAAGGCTTTCTCTTAAGACCCAGATTTTAGACACCTCTCCCATTTGGAGTGATGTCAGTTCCCTCAGAAATGTGGCAGTAGGTCAGCTTGAAAGAAAATGAACTTTGGCATCACGGAGACCAGGGTTCAAACTCTAGCTCTGCCACTTACTTGTTTGTGATGTCCTTGGGCATTATTTTGCTCACCTGGAAAATGGAGTGACCTACCCCAACTAGGGTTGTTTGGAGGAAACACAGAGGTGCTCTGGTTGACATGTGTTTAGCACAGCACCTTTACCCTTGTCTGGAGGTCTCTTACATGACTTATGTTCATTCTTGTACACCTCCACATCATTATTAAACTACTAGTGAGGACAGCGTTTAGGTTTTTATACTACCATGGCACATGTAACCATAAATTGCCAACATCTGTTGTCTGAGTGCACTGTTTATGTTTTTAGAAGTCAATTTCTACTTAAGGAGTTCTGACTATAATTATTTTCCCCCTAAAGAGTGTGTTGGTGGACAGTGACTATCAAAAGTGAAAGCCGGGCTCCTGGGTGGCTCAGTGGTTGAGTGTCTGCCTTTGGCTCAGGTCGTGATCTCGAAGTGCTGGGATCGAGTCCCACATCAGGCTCCCCGCAGGGGGCCTGCCTTTCCCTCTGCCTATGTCTCTACCTCTCTGCCTCCCTCTCTGTGTCTCTCATGAATAAATACATAAAATCCTAAAAAAAAAAAAAAAAAAAAAAGCTAAGGCACAAAATAGAAAAAGATCTCCACGGGCTTTAATTCTTAATAAGGGCTTTTATTATTTTTTTTCTTAATAAGGGCTTTTTAAAAACTTGTTATTTTTATTTAATGTAGTTCTTTTAGGAAGTGGGTTTAACACTACTGCCACAGGGATCCCTGGGTGGCGCAGTGGTTTAGCGCCTCCCTTTGGCCCAGGGCGCGATCCTGGAGACCCGGGATCGAATCCCACGTCGGGCTCCCGGTGCATGGAGCCTGCTTCTCCCTCTGCCTGTGTCTCTGCCTCTCTCTCTCTCTCTCACTGTGTGCCTATCATAAATAAATAAAAATTAAAAAAAAATTATTAAAAAAAAACCACTACTGCCACAAAGATTGAGAATTACTGGCTTAGTATCTTAGCATTGACTAACAACTAGAAAGTAAAAATGAGAAAATCAGATATTTTTAAGATACTACTAAGTGGAAAAATAGGTTATAAAAAATAATATGTTAAATAAAATTCTCATTTTCAACATTTGTTATTATTTGGCTTTTTGTTATATTTGTGAACTTCTGTTCTAAAAACTGCTTTTTGAAGTCAGGGAGAATGGTAATGGTACATTTTATTTTTCAGGCCGTTAATAGGTCCTGCATTACCACCCGGTTTTATTAAATCTACACAGAAAAGTGACAAAGGCAGAGATGATCCAGGACAACAAGTATCATCATATTTCAACTCTGAGGTTTGGAAAATTTCTGATTAAAGAATAAGATGTAGCAAACTCAAGACTTTATAGAATTATTATTATTCTATATTATTATATTATTCTATATTATATTCTATATTATTATAGAATAATAACTGTAATCACTTAATTCAAATGTAACAAATATGCAGTCCTATTCACATTAATCTAGGATTGTAAGGTAGATAGATGAAATCAAAAGCTTGTCCCAGAACTGAGATGTTAGACAAATAACAAAGCAATAACATGTTGACAAAGGTGTTACCTATTTGTGCTTCTCATCCTTGAAGAGAAGCTTTAAAGTGCTAGGAAATAGAACATGATGAAAAGTTTACAAAATTGTGATTTGACCTGAAAAAGAGAAAGCTGAGGAATTTGTTGACAATGATCTTTGCTATAAAATTAGCTCTTACCTCTACAGCTCTGGTGCCTGTACATAACAAAGCTGGGAGTTAAGTCATTTTATGAAAAGATAGGTCAAATGATTTTAGAGTCAAATATGAAAGCTGTTTTTCGTGTTAGAGGCCTGGCCCTTAACAATAGCTGAGATTTGTAGAGTACCTATAGACCTCTTCTCGTGTTTCTTTGGCCAGATATGGATCACATGCCCATCCCTTGGCCAGTCAGGTAGGCAAAAGGAATTTGACCAAATTGATTGGCTTAGAATTATCAACATTTTCCCCCAGGAGCTAGGGAAGTTCCCAGGTTCCTAAGAAAGATGTGGCTCCAAAGAGGATGAACAACACATGAGGTTCTCTTTAAAAATAGAGCAGTTACTGGTTGGAACTGTTATAATCCTGATCTAAAAGACAAAAATCTGGGACGCCTGGGTGACTCAGTGGTTGGGTGCCTGCCTTCAGCTCAGGTCATGATCCTGGAGTCCCAGGATCGAGTTCCACATCTGGCTCCCTGCAAAAAGCCTGCTTCTCCCTCTGCCTGTGTCTCTGCCTCTCTCAGTTGTGTCTCTCATGAATAAATAAATCTTTTTAAAAAATAAAATAAAAGACAAAAATCTGGAACACCTGGGTGGCTCAGTCAGGTAAGCAGCTGGTTCTTAATTTCGGTTCATGCCATAATCTCAGGGTCCTGGGATCTGAGTCCCAAGTTAGGCTCCACGCTCAGAGAAAAATCTGCTAGAGGATCCTCCCTCTCCCCCTCCCCCCATCTCTCTCTCAAATAAATAAGTAAATCTTAAAATATATGAATAAATAAAAGACATAAATCTAAGGCCTAAAAAGGCTAAATAGCACATCTGAGGTCACAGAGCTAATACAATGGCAAATTGAGGCCTTGGAACTAGTTCTAACTATAGTCCAAAGTATAAACTAGTAAGGTATATAATTTCTACTGTATTTCTGGATAAAATAACTCACCTTTTAAAAAAAAAATTTTACCAGGACACCAAAATGATTAGGTATCTAGATTAGATTTGGATTATGATTCCAGTTTTCTTTTTTCAGTTTAGTGTGTTGGGCCCAATTTTCGGTTTGCTCCCTTACCCCTCAGTTAGTTTATAACTCCCAACACCCTAAGCGATTTTTATTTCTAAAAATTCCATTGAAAAAAATAAAAATAAAAAAATAAAAATTCCAGGCATCATCCTACCATGATGTACAAGATGTGCCATATTCTATCTTTAAAAATCATCTCTTATTCTATGGAAGTAAAAATACCATTTGCATATCCCATCATCTTACATTTCAATACTATATTGATATCATGCCTCTTATAGTTGTAAAAGTTCATTATATTTTTTATATTGGGTCATTTTATGATGTCACCAAGTATCATTTTGTAAGTGCTATAAATATGTTTAAGATAATGTCTTTGAAAAAAAAGATAATGTTTTTGACATCAAAGAGCTTACCTTTGTAGAGATGAGCTATAAACACTTAAGGTTTAAACATTAACAGTTGAAATTAAAAAAAAAATAGAGGGCATTCTCTGGTGTAAGTAGAAAACATACTAGCCTCAATCTTAGAATATTTTCATCTTAAATACCAGTTTTATAACCTTGAACAAGTTGTTTAACCTTTCTAAATACACTTCTCTAAACCTAGGTTTCCTTTGAAAAGAAAACCGGAATAATAATGCCTTTTCACAGTTTTGTTAAAAGGATCAAATGGTGCATTGTATACCAAAGTCCATAGTTAAAGTGAGTGTACTTGTGTGCGTAAGTGATTTAGAGTAAGCCAAGAGATATGTAATTATCTAATTATTTATACCAATAGCAATTGCTTTAAGGGTGCAGAGAAGAAACCACAGATAGAAAGTTACCACTGAGTATCTAGTGGGGAACATGTAAACAACACAAATGAGCTTGATCCTGATAGTTTGAAAAAATAAGAGCAAGAAGCTGCCCATCAGAGCTGAGGACAGATGTCTTATTATTGTTCATCTTAACCTTCTCCTCCTTGAGGACAAAGGACTGTTTCAAGCCCTAGAATATATATAGCATTTAACACAGAGTCTTATACATAAACTCTTTATTAAAATGATTTATTCTCTCACTCTCTCTCAAATAAATAAAATAAAATAAGATAAAATGAAATAAAAAACAAAGTGATTTATTGAGGATGCCTAAGTGGCTCAATCGTTTGGGCATCTGCCCTCAACTCAGGTCATGATCCTGGGGTCCTGGGATTGAGCCTTATGTGGGGCTCCCTGCTCAGCGGGGAGTCTGCTTCTCCCTCTCCCTCTACCCCGCCCCCTGCTCGTGCTCACGCTCTCTTTCTCTCTCTTTCTCTCTCTCTCAAAATCTTAAATAAAATGATTTATTGAAAGCAAATTGAATTCACTTATTACAATACTATTATATCTTTACAGTAACGGGGATACTTTGGGAACGAAGTTAACTCATTTGGGCCAGTATTTGTGGGGCTGTTGCACAGCATTTGTGTTTCAGTGCACTGTGCTGAGTCATGAAAGTTCATACAGTTTCCAAGAATGTCTTAATTGTGTGTGTCTTATTCCAATGAGTTCTTTCTGTACCAGGAACGAAAATGGTTTCAACTTGTGTCATCTCTGACCAGTTGGTAGTAACTACCTGGGCCGTTATATTAAGAAGAACTGTGAGGCCACATCTGTATCCATCAGGAGGAAAGCAGAAATAATTTAATGAGGCCTGCCATGGACATGGGAGGGTGGGGACAATCCACATTCCGTGATTTTGTCATCTCTGTTCTGTGTACTTTAGGAAGGCAAGGCAAAGGCCCTCATTGCTCAGCAATTAGCTAGCAATATATTGTTTGCATTTTTGTTTTAGTGTCTCTGGGTAATCAGTTTTTGGTGAAATTTTAAGCAATTTAGGATCATTTTCTATAACCTGTAGCTCTGCTCCTGGTTTAAAGGTAATATCTTATTTCAAAAGGAAACAGATAGTAGTGAAGATGAGGACATTGTTGGACCAATGCCTGCAAAAGGACCAGTTAACTATAGCGTCACAACAGAGTTTGAAAAAAGAGCCCAACGAATGAAAGAAAAATTGACCAAAGGAGACAATGTAAGTGTTAAAAAGACTGTACTCTGAGAAATAGGCAAAATGAATTAAAAATCTAAATTTTCCAACATTGCTTCTTTCATGAAAGAAATATATGCATATATGTATATAAAGAAAATTTAGGAGTAAGGTAACCCAGAAGCTGAAAAAGGAAAAGACTGGCAAATTTGCCTATCTAAAAATTTTGGTATGGCAAAAGATAACAAAATCAAAAAAAAAAAAATAAATTAGACAAAGGTATTTGTAACATATGTGAAAAAAATCAATCCTTTATATTAAATTCTTTCTCATAAAGTGTTTTTTAATGTTAAAGCCTCAATTAAGAAACATGCCCACTTACAGAATATTTTATACACACACACACTCTGTCTAGGCTCCTTTTTTTTTTCTTCCACTTTTTACTTCTCTTAAAGGATTCATCTAAACCAATTACAAGAGAGTCATGGATGACTGAACTTCCTCCAGAAATGAAAGACTTTGGTCTTGGGCCCAGAACTTTTAAGAGAAGAGCCGATGACAAATCTGGAGATCGATCAGTCTGGACAGACACTCCAGCGGACAGGGAGAAGAAAGCCAAGGTAAGAGGGTTTGTTTGTTCCTGTATTTCTGCCCGTGTTTGCTCTATTTTGAAAAGATAAAAGGCATAATTATTTCAAGATACTATTTTTAAAATTATGATTCCCAAGGGAAAATACAAATTTCCCCCTGAAAGAAAATAAGGAAAGTGATCCCAGTTGCTTACTATTTCCCAGTGAGCTGTCTCATTTAAATCTCAAGAAAACCCAGAGACATGGACTTACTGACTTCATTTTATAGAAGGAAAAACTAACTTTTATGAGGTCAACTTTTCTGGAACTAGAGGGCTGGTACGTAATGAACAGTAGTTCTATTCTAGAACTTTCTATAACTCAAAATCCCCTAGTGTTTATATACAACATCACACTCTCTCCATGAAACCAAAGCCACACATTGGCCTAGCAAGTTAAGTGATGCATAGAGACGCTCTCTCAAACTTACCTCAGGTAAACCCAAGTTCATGGATATGAAGAACAGACTGGTGGCTGCCTGAAGTGGGGGTGGGCAAGGTGGGTGAAATGAGTCAAAAATACAACTTACCAGTTGTAAAGTGAATTAAGTCATGGGGATATAGTGTACAGCACCGTGGCTATCGTTAATAATACTGCATTGCATATCTGAAATTAGCTAGGAGAGTGGATCTTGAAAGTGCTCATCATGGTGGAAAAAAATGTTACTGTGTTTAGTGATGGATGATACCTGGACTTATTTTGATTATTTTACAGCATACACAAATATCGAGTCATTATATCATACACCTGAAACTAATATAGTATTTCATCGATTACACCTCAATTTTTTTTTTAAAAAGAAGCACTTTCATTAGTACATTAAATAATTTGGGAAAAAAGAAAAAGTATGGATAGAATACATTATTGACTATTTCTGCTTATTGCCAAATATTCTATTGTAAATTAGGAATTGAACCATTGTAAATTAGAAATGCCCCGGCACTACTTTTGAAATTTACTCCATCTGAAGGCTTAATTCCCTTTAATTCAAATTTAAATGCTTGAATAATTGGTACCCGAGGGTTATAGCTTTATCAGTTTTTTTTTTTTTGCTTTATCAGTTTTGATTTGAGTAGTTCCACACTTCATTTCTGCCCCTAACTCTGTTTTAACTCATTACTGTCCATCAGTAATGAGAATTATGAGGCTTTCTATCTTCATTCTGTAACAATAAATCAAATACCTTCTCTGCCAGGAATTCTGTTGGGTGTAGGTAATAGCAAAATGAAAAAAGCTTCTTAAGGAGCTGTCATTTTTGTGGAGAATTGGTTGTAAGATGCACAGTGTTTTCCTTACAATGTGGATGATATGGTGAGGTCTCCAGACTTTAACACCCTACCTTGTATATGTGTCAAAATCACAAGTTCTCTTTTGTCCAGAAGATGAAGGTTGTAATAGACAGTTGAGGTGAACCGACAGGTGATTTTAGGCCCTGTGATTGAGTTCTTTAGATCCTCTTCTTTTGGGCACTGAAAGTGTTTTGCTCAGTATTACAGTGAACTCATAAAGGGGCTATTAATAACTCCTTAAATTTTATGCTATACTATATTAAGCATATGGTACCACAGACTTAGATTTATGGCATAAACTACACAGTATCAGAGAGCTATTCATTTTCTTGTATATTTGATCCTGTGTATAGTTTATGACTAATTTTTGTTATGGAAGCTCTTAGCCAAATTTCCTTTTTGACAGGTTCTCTCCACTCATCTTTCTTTTCTTTTTATTTTGTATTATTCCTATGGTACCATCTTTTTTTTTTAAGTTTTTATTTAAATTCCAGTTAGTTAACATGCAGTGTAATATTAGTTTCAGGTGTACAACATAGTGATTCAGCACTTCCATACCTCACCCTGTGCTCATCACAAGTGCCCTCCTTAATTCCCATCACCTATTTCCCCATCCTCCACCCACCTCCCGTCTGGTAACCATCAGTTTGTTCTCTTCAATTAAGAGTCTGTTTCATGGTTTGCCTCTCTCTCTTTTTTTCTCCATTTGCTCATTTGTTTTGTTTCTTAAATTCCACATATGAGTGACATCATATGGTATTTGCCTTTGACTGACGTAACTTCACTTAGCATAAAACTCTCCAGTTCCATCCATGTTATTGCAAATGGCAAGATTTCATTGTTTTTTTTTTATTTCATTGTTTTTTATGGCTAAGTAATATTCTGTGTGTGTGTGTGTGTGTGTGTGTGTGTGTGTGTACACACCACCTCTTCTTTATCCATTCATAAATTGATGGACACAGGCTGTTTCATAATTTGGCTGTTGAAGATAATGGTCCTACACACCAGGGTGCATGTATCCCTTTGAATTAGTATTTTTGTATTCTTTGGGTAAATACCTAGTAGTGTGATTGTTGGACTGTAGGATAGTTCTAATTGTAGCTTTTTGGGAACCTCCATACTGTTTGCCACAGTGGCTGCACCAGTTTCCGTTCCCACCAATAGTCCACAAGGGTTCCTATTTCTCCACATCCTCTCCACCTCTTGTTATTTCTTGTGTTTTTTATTTTAGCCATTCTAACAGGAATTTATCCATTTCTTCTAGATTGTCCAATTTGTTGGCATCTAGTTTTTCATAATATTCTCTTATGATTTCTGGGATGTTGGTTGTCATTACTCCTCTCTCATTTACGATTTTATTTTTTTGGGTCCTTTCTGTTTTCTTTTTGATAAATGTGGCTAGAGGTTCATTAATTTTATTAATTTTCTTTTTGAAGAACCAGCTCCTGGTTTCATTGATCTGTTGTTTTTTAGTTTTTGTCATTTATTTCTGCTCTATCTTACCATTTCTGCTAGCTTTATGCTTCACTTATTCTTTTTTCAAGCTCCTTTAGGTATAAAGTTAGGTTGTTTATTTGAGATTTTTCTTGCTTCTTGAGATGGACCTATATTGCTCTCCACTTCCCTATGAGGACCACTTTTGCTGCATTACAAAGGTTTTGGACCACTGTATTTTTGTTTTCATTTTTTCCATGTATTTTTTATTTCTTCTACTCATCTTTTTTTTTATTTAAAGATTTTATTTATTCATTCATGAGAGAGAGAGAGAGAGAGGCAGAGACACAGGCAGAGGGAAAAGCAGGCTCCCTGCAGGGAGCCCGATGTGGGACTCGATCCCTGGTCTCCAGGATTATACCCTGGGCCGAAGGCAGCACTAAACCGCTGAGCCACCTGGGCTGCCCTCTACTTACCTTTCTTCTTAATATTTGACTTCCCGGCATAATCTCCCATGCCACTAAGTCTCACATTCACTTAGCCAACATGACCTAAAGAAGTAAGATTGCTCTTTAAAAAGAAATGGACGTGTTCAGTATAAATTGACATCTATTATGTTCTCATCTCCCTGTCTTTTTTTTTTTTTTAAGATTTTATTTATTTATGACAGACACAGAGAGAGAAAGGCAGAGACACAGGCAGAGGGAGAAGCAGGCTCCATGCAGGGAGCCTGATGTGGGACTCGATCCCAGGTCTCCAGGATCACATCCCGGGCTGAAGGTGGCGTTAAACCGCTGGGCCACCAGGGCTGCCCCCTCATCTCCCAATCTTGACTAGATATATTAACTCTATTAGATGGTCAAGTTTTGTTTTTGTTTTTTTTTTTTAAGATTTATTTATTTATTATAGACATAGAGAGAGAGGCAGAGAGAGAAGCAGGCTCCATGCCAGGAGCCCGACGCAGGACTCGATCCCGGGTCTCCAGGATCGTGCCCTGGGCCAAAGGCAGGCAGCAAACCGCTGAGCCACCCAGGGATCCCTAGATGGTCAAGTTTTTGTCTCTATTTACCATAATATCATTGTTCTCTTAATATTTATAAATGAGAACATCTGGGCAGCCCAGGTGGCTCAGCGGTTTAGCGCCACCTTCAGCCCTAGGCCATGATCGTGGAGTCCCGGGATCAAATGCTGCGTCGGGCTCCCTGCATGGAGCCTGCTTCTCCTTCTGCCTGTGTCTCTGCCTCTCTCTCTCTCTCTCTCTCTCTCTCTCTCTCTCTCTCTCTGCCTCTCATGAATAAATAAAATCTTTAAAAATAAATAAATGAGAACTTCTGTTTCCTAGGAAAAATTTATAAGAAAACAAGAACTGAGCTATTTCTGTATTTTTAACATACTTCATTAAATACGGCATTGTTTTTTAGTAGGCTCCACATCCAATGTGAGGCTTGAACTTACAACCCTGAGATTGAAAGTCACATGCTCTACCGAGTTAACCAAGCACTGTTTTGTACATTATTAAGATAAAAATTGCAGATGACCTCCTTGGTTTTCTTTTTAATTTTTTTTTAATTTTTTTTTTAATTTTATGATAGTCACACACACAGAGAGAGAGAGAGGCAGAGACATAGGCAGAGGGAGAAGCAGGCTCCATGCACCGGGAGCCCGACGTGGGATTCGATCCAGTGTCTCCAGGATCGCGCCCTGGGCCAAAGGCAGGCGCCAAACCGCTGCGCCACCCAGGGATCCCCTCCTTGGTTTTCTTAAGCAGATAACAGCAGTATAAAATATGCTTGAGAATGGTGGTTTTCAGTTGTCTTTTTATGAGCTGTCATCATTCCTGGTTGGAACTATAGTCTCTAGAATCTTTTTTTCTAATTAAAATCTGTTGGAAATTTACCTAAGTACTTCATTTTGTGTACGCACTGTTGTTAAATTTTCTTTTAAGTTCATATTCCAATTGTTCATTGTTGGTATATATTGTATATTGTCCTTGTATCCTTGCAGCTTTGCTGTAGTGTACTTGCTTATTAGTTCCAGGAGTATTTTTATAAATGCTTTGGAGGTTTTTTTTTTTTTAAGATTTTATTTATTTATTCATGAGAGAGACACAGGCAGAGGGAGAAGCAGGCTCCATGTAGGGAGCCGGATGTGGGACTCAATCCCGGGTCTCCAGGATCACACCCCAGGCTGAAGGTGGCGCTAAACCGCTGAGCCACCGGGGCTGCCCTGGAGTTTCCCATAATCACATCATCTGTGAGTAAAGATAGATGTATTATTTCTTTTCCAAACTCCTTAAACCTTGTCTTATTTTTCTACCTAAAGAGTGACTTTACGAGTTTTAAAAACAGATAATATAGATTTCTTTTTTGTATTATTAAGAGTTTATTTTTAAGTAATCTCTATACCCAACGTGGAGCGCAGACTTAAAACTCCCAGATCAAGTCACATGCTCTACCAGCTGAGCCAGCCAGTTGCCCCTATAGGATTTCTTTTAAAGTCTAATTTTCTCTCTCTCTTTTTTTTTAAAGATTTTATTTATTTATTCTTGAGAGACACAGAGAGAGGCAGAGACACAGGCAGAGAGAGGAGAAGTAGGCTCCATGCAAGGAGCCTGATGCAGAACACTGTCCCGGAACTCCAGGATCACGCCCTGAGCCAAAGCAGATGCTCAACGGCTAAGCCACCCTGGCTTCCCTAATTATTCTCTTTGTCATCATTGTTTGTCAAACTCCTTTGCGGGTTTGATAAATAAGGAATTTCTTCCAGTTAGTTGATTGAACAGGTTTCTTCTTGTTTTTAAGAAAATCATAGAGTAGAACTTGAACAATCCCTTATCAACTATATGTATATATATTCCTATTGGGAAAAGATTCATCAATCTTAGTTTAGTCTCTTATTACTCAATCTGAATAAAAATAATAGTTTTTTTTTTTTTTTTTAGTTTTTCTTAACTATATGGCTCAATAGTATATTATCTGTGTTCATTCTTCAGGAAACACAAGAAGCAAGGAAGTCATTTAATAAGAAGGATGAAGAACATGTACTGTCAGGAAGGGAAAAGAGGTTGGCTGAGCAGGTGTCCTCATACAATGTAAGTAAGAATAAAATATATAAGCGTTTATTTTCTTCTTTTTCTTTTAAGAGTGGTCATAAGTTTTGTCATTATTTTTTAAAGATTTATTTATGTATTTGAGAGAGAGAGAGTATGTATTAGTTGTGGGAGGGGCAGAGAGAGAATCTCAAGCAGACCCCACACTGAGTGTGGACCCCAACTTGGGGCTGGATCCCACAACCCTGAGATCACAACCTGAGCTGAATCCAAGAGTCAGATGCTTAACTGACTGTGCCACCCAGGTGCCCCAAGCTTTTTTTTTTTTTTCTCTCTCCTTCAGTATTGTCTTTCTTGTTTCTCTTTCTTTTATACATCTTCCTTTTTACCTCGATCTTTTTCTGCATGTATGTCCTGAGAAATATCCCACTTTGTTGTATTATATGTATTTATCTTAAATCCTTTTTATAGGATTTTTGTAGGATTTTTTTGTATTCATGTAATATTTTCAATTTGTATTTTTTTTAAGATTTTATTTATTTAATCTTGAGACACAGAGGAAGAGAGAGACAGAAACATAGGCAGAGGGGATCCCTGGGTGGCTCAGCGGTTTAGCACCTGCCTTTGGCCCAGGGCGCGATCCTGGAGTCCCGGGATTGAGTCCCACATCAGGCTCCTGGCATGGAGCCTGCTTCTCCCTCCTCCTGTGTCTCTGCCTCTCTATGTCTATCATAAATAAATAAATCCTTAAAAAAAAAAAAAGAAGAAGAAAGAAAGAAAGAAACATAGGCAGAGGGAGAAGCAGGCTCCATGCAGGGAGGGACTCGATCTCAGGACTCTGGGATCACGACCTGACCCAAAGGCAGACGCTCAACCACTGAGCCACCCAGGCATCCCTTTCAGTTTACTTAAGTTATATATCAGAAATTTAATTACTAGAGATTAGTAACAGATGATCAGAAAACAAGAGCCCTGGCCTTGCAGATACTACCACCCAGAGCCACATGTGCCACCCAGCCATGGTCAGTCCCACCACGTTCTTTGACATCACTGTGGACCGGGAGCCCCTTAGCTGCATCACTTTCGAGCTATTTACAGACCAAGTTCCAAAGACAGCAGAGAACTTTCCTGCTGTGGGTACTAGAAAGAAAGGATTTGGTAATAAGGTTCCTGCTTTCACAGGATTATTCTAGGACTTATGTGCCAGGGTGGTGACTTCACACGCCATGACACTTGTGGTAAGTCCACCTATGAGGAGAAATTGGCTGATGAGAATTTCATCCTGAAGCACATGGGTCCTGGCATCCTGTCCGTGGCAAATGCTGGACCCAACACGAACGATTCCCAGTTTTTCATCTGCACTGCCAAGACTGTGGTTGGGTGGCAGGCAGGTGGTCTTTGGCAAGGTGAGAGAGAGCATGAATATAATGGAAACGATGGAGCAGTTTGGGTCCAGGAGTGACAAGCCCAGCAGGAAGATCCCCATTGCTGACTGTAGATAAATCTAATAAATTTGACTTGTATTTTACTTTAACTACCAGTCTATTCCTTTGATAGCTCAGGAAAGCACTCCTTTACCCTCATCTGCTCAAAAAATCTGATAATCTCTATGCTCTCACTGCAGTGCAGTGGATTCCATATTTTCCTTACTCCCCTCCCAAGTCTAGCTGGATTGAAGAGTTAAGCTTATGATTGTGAAATAAAAACTAAACAGCAATAAAAGAAAGCAAAAGCCTTACTAATTCCTAGAGATCCTCAGTTCGTATTTTATATTATAAGCAGATTTGGAATATTCAATGTGAAGATTTAAATATTGGAGAAAAGAACTTAAATTTATAAACTAAACAGTTTAGTATTCATTTGACATTTTGTTATTTCATTATATTCTCTTACTTTAAAGAAAAAAGCAAAAAACAAAAACTGGTGATTGTTCCAGCTCAAAGAATAAATGTAAATTACTAAACCTTTCAGCCCTGCAGTGTTCAGGTATTTAAGGAAAATTACCTGTTCTCAGTGTATTAGTTAATGAAAAGTTCCATAAATGTTAAAAACATAGCATGATTAGTTGGACATATGTAGACCAGTACACAGTGAGCATACATGAAACATTCTTGGAAACTGACCAAAAACTCCACTTACATGGGACGTTTATGAAAACTGACCAGCTTAAGAGTCAAAGCTCAACAAAACTAAGAATCAGGGATCCCCGGGTGGCTCAGTGGTTTAGTGTCTGCCTCTGGCTTAGGGCGTGACCCCCGAGTCCCGGGATTGAGACCCGCATCGGGCTCCCTGCATGGAGCCTGCTTCTCCCTCTGCCTGTGTCTCTGCCTCTCTCTGTATGTCTCTCATTAATAAATAAATAAAACCTTAAAAAAAAAAAAACAAAAACTAAGAATCACTATCATTAAAGCCATGTTCTCTGAACTCAAGAAATTTAAGTAAAAATTCAGAATAATTTAAAAGACTTCATAAAAAAAAAAGACTTATACAAGTGGAACTTAGAAAAATTCAGAATTTGAATTTTGCATGAAAAAAAAAAGACAACATGATAATGAAAGAAAATACCTAGACATGAATAACACAAAAATACAACATATCAAAAATGTATGCAATGCACTATCAGGTGGTACTTAGAAGCAAAATTTATAGCCATAATGAGTTCTGTTAGAAAAGAATAGCTGAAAATCAATAAGCTGGGCCTTTTTCCAAATAGGCATTTTTTTTTAATACATGGTTTAATACCTGTGCTTTTATTTTTTTTTATTGGAGTTCAATTTGCCAACATATAGCATATCACCCAGTGCTCATCCTACCGATGAGCTCATGCCCCCCCCCCACAGTGCCTGTCACCCAGTCACCTCAACCCCCCACCCACCTCCCTTTCCACTACCCCTTGTTCATATCCCGGAGTTAGGAGCCTCTCGTGTTCCATCACCCTTACTGATATTTCCCACTCATTTTCTCTCCTTTCCCCTTTTTTCTCTTTCACTATTTTTTATATTCCCCAACAAATAGGCATTTCCTATACTATACCTCCCCTGTGACCCTACAGCATCACCCTGGGCATCTACTTAAGGCAAATGAAAACCTAACCACAAAGATTGAATATGCTTTATCCTTAATGTCTTCAAAAAGACTTCTGTGAGAAGCTCTGCCTCTGAAACTAATAATACACTATCTGTTCAAATAATTCAAATAGTTGAATTTGAATTTATTTTTTTTAAACTTTCTTTTTTTTTAAGATTTTATTTATTTATTCATGAAAGACACAGAGAGAGAGAGGCAGAGACACAGGCAGAGGGAGAAGCAGGCTCCATGCGGGGAGCCTGATGTGATCCTCGATCCCGGAACTCCAGGATCATGTCCTGGGCTGAAGGCAGACGCTAAACTGCTGAGCTACCCAGGCTGCCCTTGAATTTGAATTAAAAAAAAAAAAAAAAAAAAAGATTTGCACATTGGAAAAAAGTCTTCTATAAGAATGTTCATAGAAGCTTTTATTCATAGGGGCATCTGGGTGGCTCAGTGGTTGAGCATCTGCCTTTAGCTCAGGTCATGACCTCAAGGTCCTGGGATCAAGTCCCGCATCTTGCTCCCCACAGGGAGCCTGCTTCTCCCTCTGCCTGTGTCTCTGCCTCTCTCTGTGTGTCTTTCATGAATAAATAAAATCTTAAAAAAAAAAGCTTTATTCATAATAGCAACATTCTGGGGACAGCTCAGATGCTTATCAATAAATAATTCAATGAAATATTACTCAGAAATAAAAAGGAACAAATAACAGGGTAGCCTGAGTAGCTCAGTCAGTTATGCATCTGCCTTCAGCTCAGGTCATGATCCCAGGGGCTTGGGATCAAGCCCCACATTGGTCTCTCTGCTCAGCAAGGAGGCTGCTTCTCCCTCTCCCTCTGCTTAACACTTACTTAACTACCTACTTGTGTATGCTCTTGCTCGCTCTATCAAATAAATAAATCTTGTTTTTTTTTCAAAAAGGAACAAATTACAAATAAATGGAACTTGGATAAGTCTCAAAGTCATTACACTGAGTACAAGGAAGTATGTACAAGAAAGTACATACTGCACCATTCCATGTATATGAAGCTCTACATTAAGCAGAATGAATCTGTGGTAGAAAAAAATCAGAATACTGGTTGTTGGGGTCACGGTATGAGTATTGACTAGGAAGGGGCAAAGTGTGATAGAAATGTTCCAGATTTTGAATTATAAAATTTAGTGACTGTACACTTAAGATTTATGCATGTTGGGGGATCCCTGGGTGGCTCAGCGGTTTGGCGCCTGCCTTTGGCCCAGGGCGTGATCCCGGAGTCCCGGGATCAAGTCCCACGTCGGGCTCCCGACGTGGAGCCTGCTTCTCCCTCCTCCTGTGTCTCTGCCTCTCTCTATGTCTATCATAAATAAATAAATAAAATAAATCTTTAAAAAAAAAGATTTATGCATGTAAATTTACCTTAAAGGAGAAAATTGTGAACAAATGTGGAGTTCTAGCTAATGAAATGAATGCTAAAGTACTTAGGGATTGTGTAATGATGTCTACAGTTTACCTTAGAATGCATCAAAGGGTGCCTGGATGGTACAGTCATTTAAGCATCAGACTGTTAATTTCAGCTCAGGTCATGATCCTCAGGGTCCTGAGTTGGAGCCCTCTGGTGGGTTCTGTGCTGGCTGTGGAGCATGCTTAAGGTTCTCTCTGTGCCCCTCCCCCAGCTCCCCTTCTGTGCTCTGTCTGTCTCTAAAATAAAATAAAATAGGGCAGCCCAGGTGGCTCAGCGGTTTAGCGCCACCTTCAGCCCAGGGCGTGATCCTGGAGACCCGGGATCAAGTCCCATGTCAGGTTCTCCCTGCATGGAGCCTGCTTCTCCCTCTGCCTATGTCTCTACCTCTCTGTGTGTCTGTGTGTCTCGTGAATAAATAAATAAGATCTTTAAAAAAAAAATAAAAATGAAATCTGTAGGACAGGCCAGATCCTGTCTTGGATTTGGCAAAACCTATTAGGGTTTGTAAAAGCCCTCCTTAATGTTCGTTCATCATGACTGCTTAATCATTTTGCTTCATGATCATATTCTGTCCATACTCTGTACAAGTAAAGATTTTCATTTCTACCCCTCTTCCTCTCCCCTAGGAATCAAAAAGATCAGAATCTCTTATGGACATTCATCATAAGAAATTAAAAAATAAGGCTGCCGAAGAGAAAAATAAGCCCCAAGAAAGAATACCATTTGACCGTGATAAAGATCTCAAAGTTAATCGGTTTGATGAAGCTCAGAAAAAAGCTCTGATAAAGAAATCTAGAGAACTAAACACCAGATTTTCACATGGCAAAGGCAGTATGTTTTTATAAGTAAGTATATCTCAGTGAGGTATATTTTCAAACTGATAAATTTAAACTTTTCTAAATACGGTGTTATCTATAAGTAATTGTGTGTAAAAATTTATCTCCTTTTATAATAAAGTAGATTATAACCTGAAAATCTTTTTTGATAAGTCAGCCATGAGTTTTTGAATATTCAGCCCTGTGGGGTAAAAAATGTAGTTAACTGGAAAAGTAGCCTTGTCTTTAAGCATTGCTATTAACCAGGCATTGCTATTCAAAACACTAAAATTAAATTTTAGTTTAAAAGAAATGGCAAAGGAAAGAGTGGTTTAAGGTTGGGTAAATATGCATGCTTTTTTAAAGAACGAGAAGAAAAAAAAAAATAAATGACAGAAAGGAGATGTGTTTATCATTTCTGTGTTAAACAAGGTCACAGTTAGAAAACATTCATTGCTTTGAAAGCTTCTGTTTAAGTTAAGGTTTAAAATCATATCCTTCATCCAAGCCCAATCTGACCAGGGTTCATAAAGGTGAGTAAGGAATTACATAAAAGCTGAGGTTGCTCCTTAAAATCTTTAATTGTATGAAACCTACATCAATATTAAAATATGGCTTTAAAGGAAAATACGGGCATGGCTGGCTGGTTCAGTCGGTGGAGCATGTGACTCTTGATCTCAGTATTGTGTGAGTTTGAGCCCCACGTTGGGGTGTAGAGATTACTTAAAAATCTAAAAAAATTAAAAATAAAGGAAAATACGGTTAAGGTTAGAAACATTTCCAACTTACTAAACTTTCTTATTCTTACTTCAGGGGGATTTCCCTGTGCAATGAAGAAAAGTTGAAGAACACTCTTTTGTCAGTCTGTCCACCTTTTTCCTTTGTTTTGAGTTTCTTAAAATTAGAGATTACTTTAGTCTTAAAAACCATACAAACTTACCTTGTGCTGTATGTCCTTTAAGTCACGTGGAAACCTAAAGTCAGTATTTCTTATGTGGAATAGAATTTTATGTGTCTTTGGCTTCTGAGGAAGTGTGGGCTTTTCTTCAAATAATTATTTTGAGGACAGCCCGGGTGCCTCAGCCGTTTAGTGCCACCTTCAGCCCAGGGCATGATCCTGGAGACCCAGGATCGAGTCCCACGTCAGGCTCCCTGCATGGAGCCTGCTTCTCCCTCTGCCTGTGTCTCTGCTTCTCTCTCTCTCTGTCTCTCTCATGAATGGATAAATAAAATCTTTTTTAAAAAAAATAATTATTTTGAGGATCTCCCACCTATTCCCTAATTTTTGTGGTGTCTCCCAAGTATTGTGTAAGGTCTGTTCAGGACTATTTGCTAAATCTCCACCAGTGTAGACCTCCTCATCAGCTGTTCCTAACCCGCCCTGGAGTAAGTGTGTTGAGTCCTTGCAGTAAATCCATGCATCTGAAATTGTTCGGGTTTTCCCTCTAAACTGCAGCCAGTGAATACACATTTACAAATAGAGGGCTTGGAGATTTTGTCTGTTTTGTTGACGTTTTGCTTGTTTGGGCAACCAGGGCTTTTCGTTTCTTGTTTGGGTTTTTTGTGTTGGTTGGTTGGTTGGTTTTTAAGTAAGAAAGAAGGGCCTCTATGTTATCTCATGTACTAAGAAAAACTAATTTGATCTTTCCAACTTTAATAAGTACTTCTAGGAGAGGCAATCTAAGGGACAAAATATGCCATTAACCATTAGCGGTGTGAAGTCAAAGACTTGGTCTCTCTGGGCTCAGCTAAAGCTTTCTAAGTCTTTAAACTTTGCTTTGAGATTATCTTATTTTACCCATTTATATTTAACAGATTTTAGCTAATTTATTGGGGACTGATCTTTTATATCAATCATGAGTAGTCTTTTTTAAAACTCAAGTTCATAATCTTGAAATACAAAAATATGAATGGAAACTCTAATCATAACCACTCTAATGAGAGTACATAACTTGGTAATGCTTTGAGGCACTGTCTCTTAAGATGTTAAATAGAACATTCTAAATAGTTAAAGCCTAAATTAAAATTCTCTTAGTTATGTTTTCTTACAGAGTCTTACTAATTGTTCACTAGTTCTGTGTTCTAGTTTTGATAAAGCATGAGGGGTTTTGTTTTTTTGTTTTGTGTGGGGGGAAAAAACACAAAATGAGAGACTAGGTAGGAGGTGGGAGGTTTTAATGGAAAAACATTTCTGATTCTTAGTTCGTTTAGGCTTTGTGAAAATTGAGTACAGTAAACTGTTGGGATTATGGCACAAGTTATTCTTCGTTGCTCTTTTATGATATCAGCGTAAACAGTAGCCTACTCAAGGAGCGTAGCTTTTAAAGAGATGAATTCTCCTAAGCAAACTGAAACAGCTTCTTGTCTAAGCAAAATTGAACAGAGCTACCATTTGACTAAAGATGTCATTTTTAGTAATATTTTCTGAATGCAGAACATTGTGCAAAAGCATCCATTGCTCTCATTTAATTTCGTTATAATTTTTCCTGGACGAAAGGAAGACATGTTTTCTAGTTCCTCACCCTTCTATAAATTTCTAACATACAGTTTTGGGAAACTTTGTATTTTTTAAAGTAAAAATATCACCTTTGGTTACTTCTTTTTCTTTGTTTTATTCATCTTAAGGGGATAGGATATTTCTGCATCATGTAGTTACTTGTTTTTCCCGTCCCCTTGAAGCGTCTTTGTCCTCTGCCAAAGAGAGAAAAACCTCTTCTCTCTGCCTGATGCTTTCCATGAGTTACCATCTTACTGCTCCCTTGGGTGTAATACTCTTTCATGCCATCCCAGTTTTAATCAAACGTGAGGCCAGACCAGAGGTTTTTTATGCCCTTCGGAGAGACTAAGCCCAGTAGAATAGCATTGATAATAAAAGAACAGAGTTGCTATTTACACAGAATGGAAAGGTGCTCAGGGCAGCCCCTCCCCTCTTCCAAAGTGGTAAAAAGCCTAATTAATTCAAGTCTCCATTCATCTGGCAGAAAATTAGCATCATTGACATCTTCTAATAAGACCTTTTTAATTTATTGTACTTCTTGGCTAAGTCTTATAGAACTGTGGCCTCCTTTGAAACTTAAAAATGAAGGGAAAAATTAAAAAGCAACACTAAGTTCAAAAGATGAAGCAGGGGCGGCCCCGGTGGCTGAGCAGTTTAGCGCCTGCCCTTGGCCCAGGGCATGATCCTGGAGACCCGGGATCGAGTCCCACGTCAGGCTCCCTGCATAGAATTTTATGTGTCTTTGGCTTCTGAGGAAGTGTGGGCTTTTCTTCAAATAATTATTTTGAGGACAGCCCGGGTGCCTCAGCCGTTTAGTGCCACCTTCAGCCCAGGGCATGATCCTGGAGACCCAGGATCGAGTCCCACGTCAGGCTCCCTGCATGGAGCCTGCTTCTCCCTCTGCCTGTGTCTCTGCCTCTCTCTCTTCTCTGTGTGTCTCTCATGAATAAATAAATAAAATCTTTAAAAAAAAAAAAAAGATGAAGCAGATACTGTAACTTTCTTTTCTATTGAAGGTGACATCTAAGTTCATTGTACCTGAAATTACACGATTTTTGTCCATCTCTGTAAGTTGTCATCTCAGATAGACTGAGTTACTTCCATGAATAACCACTACTGATAAATAAATGGTGGCATTAGCAAGGGAGGGGATTGGGAACGGGAACAGAAGATGAGAGATGGTGGGTACACCATTCATTATCACATAAATTAGAACCTTTTTATATTAGCAAAATATTGTAAATTAAACCATTGCTCTTTAAAAAAAAACAAAACAACAACAAAAAAAATCATGGTCTTACTAAGAGGTTTTCAGTCATGTTTGGATATAGCAGCCATTTCACATTTAATTTATCTCTTGAACTTTTAATAGTTCTTTTAATTAATGAGTTTTTTTAGAAGCGAGGTTGAGATTGACATGGTACCAAAATTTCCTTGCTCCAGAATAGATTAATAGTTATTCTATAAATTATTTGGTCCCCAAACATCACGGCACTTTTTATTTCTTATATGGGGTAGATCATGTTAATATTATTACTCAGAAACATATAATCATGGGAGATAGGTTTTTTTAAACTATAAGAGTCCTTGGTCTTGTGTCTTTTATAATCATTTCATGGTGATGATAAACATTGTTAGAAAAAAACAACTCTCTGTTGAGTATTGTACCTACGGGGAAGAATTAACATGGAGGAAAGTGATTAGAGATAGTGCCTGTGTAACATCCGTGCCAAGTCTTCTATTTCATGATATTAATTTATTTTACTTTGGTTTTTTGACACCATCATGAGATCTAAGTCTGCAGTTACAGAGGTCATGCATTTCCTGTTATAAGAGAGGTATATTTTTTTGCAGCTTCAAGAATTGTTTAACTGTGACTGTGGTTTGTAAAATACTATAAAGAGCTATACACTGCCCCTTTGAATCTTTTCATTTTGAACTTTACAATAAGAGACTGTTTTTAGAAAAGAATTCCTGATGTATAATTTTTTATGTATAAATAAAGTTTCATCTCTATCTGAGAAGCTGCAGTCTTTTCTTTTTCTTCTGTTTTAATATTACTAACTCATCTGAAGCAGGCAATCTTGGCAAAGAGAATATTCCACAAAAATACATTCTGGCCAACCGGATCGTCTTAGGAAGACAGCTCACTTGCCAGGTTTTCATTATCCCAACATAATTACAAACAGTAACTGTTTTCTTTAGACCTGCAAGACAAATTGGAAATGCTCTTAAGAGCACCATGGCACAAGAGGGCTAGCACTGGCTTATCACCAAGATTCCATTGTTTTCCAACGGTCGGTGGGTGCTTTCAGGAGTGTTTGATTATCAGCTTTTTTCTTTCCTTTCTCTACTTCGCAAATTCTTTCAGAACACATGTATTCTTTTATCATTTGGGGTGGGGGGATTATCCCCCCTCCTTTTTTTAAATCCTAATTTTTTGTTATATAGGGTTAGTTGAGGATGAGAAACTTTTCAGGTAAAATGATAAGGAACGTCTTTCTGAAGAGATGTCATTTAAGCTAAAACCTAAAAAATGAAAAAGATGCTAGCAGTGTGAACAGTGACTGACCACACATGCAAAGGCCTTGAAGCATTAGTTCTAAGGTGTTTGAAAAACTGCACCAGGGTGGACAGTATGTAAGAAATACAGGGGCTCAGGGTTGGTCCTTGCTACTGATGCCAGGAACCCAGATAAAGGGATCTGAACAGTTAGAAGGTGAAAGGAAGCCTCCCAGAGGAGAGTATACTTTGGCCAAGTCATAAACATCACACAGGAGTTAGCCTGATGGGTCCTAACACCAAAGATCTGTCCTCCTGGCCTTCGAGGATTCCCAGCCATGTCTGAATTGGTCCTTTAGGCCCTTGCTCTGAAGGCTGCACGTACTCCACTAGTGTCAGCAGTAGAAAATAAGTGCATTGAACGTCTGCCTATACTTGTCCCCAAAACTACTTCAAGCACAGCCGGGGCCGTTTGTCTATCTTTCAAAATTTGTCATAAATTATTGTTCATTTCCTCCCCATAGGCCTAATTATTAAGGATTATATACATTCTCTTTAAGAGCTAAATAGCACCAGATACCAAATGAGTAAATGAATCTTTAAAATTCAGGGCTTGGAAGGAGATTTTCATATTTCTATTTCTTGTGATCCTTGGACCGCCATCAGAATCAACTGAGGAGATTGATCAAATGCAGGTTCCCAGGCCCACCCCTCTGGGAATCCTTGAGGTTAGAGCCCAGGGAATCTCTGCTTGTAACCATCTCTCAGGTCATCCTTTGTAAAAAGTTTGAGAATCACTGCACTTACCATATCCATGATCATCTTAGGTCGCACAGCCGCAGCCACTAGTACCAACAATAACTTGCATTACGAAGAGTAAGTTGTCCTTCCTATTGGGGAATTGATGCCTAAAAGGGTATATTCTTCAAACATTTTGACCAGCCAGCTACCACGGGGCTCAAGATTCTACTGTCAGTGATAGTTTGGTTTCATTAGATTGCCTTCTTGTAGGCTCCTTTTAACATGGAAGAGTCTTGGGGGCAGCCCCGGTGGCCCAGCGGTTTAGCGCCGCCTTCAGCCCAGGGCGTGATCCTGGAGACCCGGGATCGAGTCCCACATCGGGCTCCCTGCATGGAGCCTGCTTCTCCCTCTGCCTGTGTCTCTGCTTCTCTCTGTGTATTCTCATGAATAAATAAATAAAATATTTAAAAAATAAAATAAAATAAAATAAATAAAATGGAAGAGTCTTCAGGAGGAGGAGTAGGTTATAAGATCTTTGGCGCTGGCTGGTGGCTCTCAAGAGATCGCTGAATACCCTGGAAGCACAGAACACACGCGTGCGAACCATGAACTCCAGAGGTGGTCTCTGCCTTGTGACTTTTCCTTAGCAAAACTCACCAGTGTTGAGGTCTGAGATAAGTGTGCCTTGACAGCTAATTATTTTAACTAAAGAACGTTGAAAGCAAGTGAGTTTACTTTTTGGATACCATTTTCTACATTTGCCAACAAAAGAACAATGACAGTAGCTAAAGGAATGTCAAGGAGAAACAAAGGGGCGTGATTGTTTTAAAGCTGAAAATTTTCAAGGACCTATGCTAGAATATTTCAAAGAACTGCAGAACTCATTTCAGGTCTCTGATAACCGCCTCTCTACCATCTAACCTTTCCATTTGGTCTCCTTAGGATGAGGTAATGTTGGCCAAACAGGGCATGTGATGAGTTATTTAGTCCTAAAGTTTTCATACAGTCAACGCTCTGAGATGAGAACAGATGTGCTCCTTTTATCACTGGGCACAAGAGCCCTCATTAACATAGGAGAATTAGTGATACTATGCTAATTACGAGCATAAACATTGGAAACCAGCCTGGAATGGAATCTTGGCCCTGCCACTAGCTGTGTAGACTTGAGAAAGTTCCTTAACCTATCTCAGCCCAAATAGGTCTTAAAATGAGACCAGTAATACCTCAAAGGGTGGCATGAGGATTACAGAGATGACACGTGCCAACAATTAGCACAAAACCCAACAATAAACGGTGGTTATCATTGTAGACCCCTGGGTGAGAAGTCCGCTGAGACAACTTTTGTAGACAGATCCACTCATATAATCTCAGAGTAGTCCTATATTTATCAGAGATCTTGGCAGCAAGTGATAGAAACCTAATTCAAACTGGCTTAAGTTAAAAAAAAAAAAAAGATCGTTTATCCCCTCATGTAATGAAAAGTACAGAATGTAGCCCTGGCTTTGGGTACAGCCAGATCTGAAAGCCCAAATTATGCCATCAGGGTTCCTATCCCTCAGCCTGCCTTCCTTTGCGTGGACTTCGTGGCTAGGTGGGCTTCCTAGCTGATGACAGATGTGGATAGCAGCACTTCTAAAGTGACATCCTACCAGCTTAGCCACCCAGTGAAAGGAAAGCTTCTCCTTCCCATTAAATTCCAGCCAGAGCCCAAGGACTAATGCTAACTGACTCTGAGGACAAGCTTTGGTCATTTGTTCATCCGTGAGTCAATCGTGGTCAGGAGACACAACACCCCGCAACCCAGGCTGGTTCCCATCCCCTTCCCCAACCACACAGACTTCAGAGTTGGGGGTGGGGGGTAGTTCCCTAAAGCAAAATGGAGGTGCTATAACTGGCAACAAAGTAACAGGCCAAAACAGCTGATGCTTCCATTAGCCCCCATCCCAGATTTCATTCCCACCTATTTTCTAATGAGAACACCAGTATTCTGTTTACCAAAATGAGAGATCACCCCCCTACCTGTCAGTTCTCCCCCGGTTATCAGTATGACTCCCTGGACATCGTGCATCTCCTTTCCATCAGGAATATGCTGGCACAGGTAGTGGGGTTACGAGCCCGTGTGCAGGGAAGCGTGGGGAGGGGGCACACACTGAGCGCTGCGCAGATGCATGTGCCAGGTGAGGTTCCACCCAGTGATTACTCCTACTTTATTGGCTTCCCTCAAGTCCTCTGATACCAAGAAGCACGCTCAGCACGAAGTCGATGGGAAATGAAGCCCTCACCGGATCTTCAGCTGCGACGTGTAAATCACACTGCGACCTGCAACGTGTGGCTCACGATACAATCCAAAATGATTGATTCGGCCTTTCTTTCTACGAATGACAAGAAAAAGGAAAGGGAAATGACAAATGATGAAAAGTTGCCAGCTTCAACCCAACCAATAGCAAGGAAGCTTGCCCGACCTTGCCAATTGATCACGGATCTGGGATAGGAGGTGTTCACTGTCTGAGGAAGCCCTCGAGACGGGGAGCCAAAGTGAGAGCCACGCCCCCCAGATCATAAAACTAGGTGGAAGCGAGAGGAGGGAGGAGAGAGTCTCAAATGTCTCTCCCGAGCACCTGGAGGACTAGGCCTGGAGAAGAGCCAAGGGCAGTAGGCCGCACAGTGGCCCCCAAAAGGCATGTCCACCCAGAGTCTCAGAATGTGACTCATTGGGAGCGAGGGTCAGGATCTCAGGATGAGACCATCCGGATTTAGGGTGGGCCTTACATCCAACCACTGGTGTCCTTATCAGAGAAAGTTATATTTGCCACAAGCCCCCACAAGCTGGAAGATGGGAGGAACGACTCCCCCCTGGAGCCTCCAGAGGAAGCCTGGCCCTGCTGACACCCCTTGATTTCGGACTTGTAGCCTCCACAACTGTGAAAGATAAATTCTGCTGCTTTCAGGTGCCAAGTCAGCGGCAGGTTTTTGGGGTTTTGCAGCAGCAGCAGCCCTAGGCAACTAGGAACAAGATGGGAGCTGGATGCATCTTCACTCTCTCAAGGCCAAGATGGCAGCCTCGTGGTAGCAACTCCTAGCCGGCCCCTGGCACCGTGAGGGCTCCGATGGGCCCCTGGATTCGTCGGGCGCTCTGCCGGTTCTAGTCTCTGTGCCATGAAGTATCCCTAAAGGGAAGTGGAGGCGTTTTTACCTAAAGAAGGGAATATATCCTAGGCAGGCAAAACTTGAAAGCAAACACCCTAGTCAGTAAAAAGCCTGACAGGGAGTAGTTGGAAATGGATTTTTTTTAAGTGTTGTCAAGTGGAAGTCGTTCTGTAATAAATTGTTGTTTAAAATTAGCAATCAGGGGGCAGCCCCGGTATCTCAGAGGTTTAGCGCCTGTCTTTGCCCCAGGGCGTGATCCTGGAGTCCAGGGATCGAGTCCTGCTCCACCTCCCCTCAGGGAGCCTGCTTCTCCCTCTGCCTGAGTCTCTGCCTCTCTCTTTCTGTATTGCTCAGGAATAAATAAATAAAATCTTTTAAAAAAGAGAGAGAGAGGAAAGAAATACGAGGGGGGGAAAAGTGGTGCTACTTCTGGACAAACCTATGGTGGGTCTCCATAGAAAACTGTTTCTTGGGGCACCTGGGTGGCTCAGTGGCTGAGTGTCTGCCTTCGGCCCAGAGCGTGACCCCGGGGTTCTGGAATCCAGTCCCTCCATGGGCTCCCCGGTGGGAGGCTGCTTCTCCCTCTGCCTGTGTCTCCACCTTTCTTTGAATAAATAAAA